GGTCGCGGAGCGGGCCGCGCGTCGCCCGACACCCGCGCGCCTAGCCACCTGATACACTATACGAGACCGCGCGCTCTCTACTGTGACCGAATTATTATTTTTCGTCAAATCGCTAAAAAGGAGGTTCGCCGGGGGCGCGGCTGTCCGAGTCGACGTGTGCGTGTGATAATGACGTGATAGTGAACAAGCAATAAGTATATTTACCTTCCGCGTTCTCGTCTCGTAGCTCCGTGTTCATCCCAGCCATCAGATCCATATTACCTGCGAAAATAGTGTAAACCGTCAGTATCTGAATACCAATGGCTTGGAACACTTCCAAACACACATATTGTTACAAACCTTGCAGTGCAGCAAATGGATTCGCGAGCGCGTTGTTCTCGTTGTAGTAGATCTGTGGGAAGTTAGAACGCTCCTCGTCGCTGGCCTCTTGTTCCATTACTTCCATTTTTGGTTCCAGAAGATCGGTTGCATTGAATTCTTGGCATTTGTCTGTTCTTTCAGGGTCTCCAGGGTCCATAAGTATATCACTCTCTTCATTTTTCACATCAGGTGCTTCGAGATCAGTTTTTACCCTCAGAGCTGGGTAATTGGGAGTTTCTCTATAGTCATCATTATTAGGCCTCGTTTGACTAGAAGTTTGAAAAGGAGCTTCTTCATTGAGATTGTTTCTGGCAACATCGGGAGAATTTCTCGTGGAGCGACGATTTTGATCTTGGTCTTCAACAGATGTCGTCTCGACATTTTGGTTTGCGGCTTTGGAAGAGGAGGTAGAGTGTGACGGCTTGGCGCTGAGCAAATTACGTAGTTGGGAAGGAGGTGATTTTCGATTCACTTTCTGCAACAGAGTACCATAAACAGAGTGTGTTAATATGGGGGAATAACAATAATATGGTGCTTATGAAAATGTATTGTAATGTATTACTTTGTCGTTGTGTTGTGAACAGTCTGTGAGACCTCGAATTTGCAGCGCGTCGGCAGTTCGTAGAAAAGCGCTGAGTTGCGCCTGCGCTATGTTCACTTGTCCCACGTACATAAACTGTAGCAGCGCGCGCACGTGCGACACCTCGCAGTCGCGCATGAATATTATAGGGTGAGGACATGGATTGTTCTGAAAGTAACAATGTGCTTTAATCAACAATAACAATCAATAACAACAGCCGTCATTATGATAAATAGTGCTATACTATTATGCAACTGTTTTCAATTAATCATTTTAACTTTATAAATACTGATTATGATGACTATGACAACCTCATTGATAGACCCATGTTGCAACTGCTTTCATCATGAAAAACATTCAACATACTTTTTATTGTAAGCTAAAAATAAAGGCCATTGACCAAACATCTTAATTTTATTACATAATCAAGACAAGACAAGATTAAATAAGTAAAACCATTGTTCATAAACATTACAAGAGAACAACAGCTAAACACTATAGCTATATTGCTGTCTCTGTCCTTTGAAAGGAGAATGACAATGACAGGTAATGTTTATCAAATGTTTATGAATGTCAAGTTTTTATGAACAAGGGGATAATGTTTGAACTTTGGAATCAAAAGGTTAACATACAACAAACTAGTGTAGAGTATTCTATTCTTATGTTGCAATGAGAAGATATGCTACAACAACTTACTATCTTTGTTTAATAATGGTGCTTGATTAAATTAGCTCATGCATTGTTAGTAACAAGATAAGATGTACATAGATTGATAAAATGTGATAGGAAAAAATGTTTATGGAGAATATCAATACAACTATAATCTTAACCTAGAAATTAGAATGTCACAAAGTAAAGTTATTTATAGACAGATGAAACACTCAATCAGTATTCACCCTCCCATTTAAATGGAGATTTCCGAAGAACAGTATCTATTTTGAGGTGATTTTGAGCCTTTGTGTAACATTAGTGGACATTAACAGTTATATTTTAAATATGTTGGTGTTAAAATGTACTATAATATGTTTTCCACAACCACAAAGCAATTACCCCATAACATTTCAATCACCTCAGATAATATTTAACAGGTAAAAGTCTATTGTTTTAATACAAGGTACTTGAATAGATAAGATACAGAAAGAAAGAAACAAAAAAGAAAGATGACAATTTCTTGTGATGTTTAAGTGTAATAAAATTGGTGTATTAGAGTCTATTTATACAAAAGGTAATTAGAAGTTACTTTACAGTTAACAGTTACAGCAATAAGTTTCACATTAGTAAAGGTTTCCCATGAACTATTGATTTTCTAGTCATTATGGAGATGACTGTTGTACTTAGTGGCTATATCTGTAATATTGATTGGACCACAAATACAAGTGTACATAAAAATATAGGAGCTGATAAAATAATGCTACACATGTACTGCACTATGTGTCTGAACAACTTTCATCATTCATTTGGTAGGTCATCTTTGTGGTCATAAAGATTTCAGTACCAATGACCCCAGATAAAAGTGTCTGTTACAAAACCATTTTTAATAAGTATATTAAAATTAGGCAAACATATTCATTAGCATTGACTGTAATGGTTACACTATGTGTATAATGAATACATTATATGCTTCCAAGACAAATGTAATCTATAGCCCCAATGGTAATGAGTTAATTAGAAATTGTGAAACAGAATTTTAAAGTAGGTACAAATAAATGAAATCACGAGTACTTAACCGGAACGCGAGACATGGCATTTGTAAGTAGATCAAGTGTTTTATACATAACAACTTTCACTAGAGTCATTGTAATGGTGACACATCAAAGTGTGGGGAGTGAAAGATGGACTTACTTTAAATAATTCCTTGAAATATGGACTACATGCCGAAAGAACCACTTTATGTGCCTCCAGCCGGTGCCCCTCACATGCCAGGGTGACATCCACGAAGTCCTCATCATCGCGCAATGCCTCGAATTGAGAAGTTATATTCGCTTGAAAATTGTTCCATCTCAAACAAAATTGCTGGTCGCCACCCAGTTCTGTACCTTCCATTACTTATAGACATAACTCGATTTCCCTGCTCATTTAATTGGTTGATAAGAATAGTTAATTATTGAAAATAAATATATCACAGTAACTTGCAATTTCAGTCGCCGTCTGGCCGAAAATCTTATGAAAGAAAACAATCAATAAAATCTCGTACCAATATAAGAAAAATAAAAACTTTTTAATTTGTCATTTGGATGGTACATTCACTTCAACGTTCCGTTACACTTTTTGATTCGTCACCGGTTTTTTCTTTTTTTACGTAAACAAATCGAAATTTAGACATAAAGACGGTTTGAAAGTCTTCGAGTGACTAAATTGTTATTTTACGAAATATTATGAACGATAACATTCTTGTTTTTATGAGACCCTCTTGCTCTAACAATGACTCATTTACGGTTAATTAAAAATGGTTTAACAATTGGCAACATTGAAAATTATGGGTAATTTTATATATCATCATAATTTCAATTTTCATCGTCAGCGCCAGAGGAGTACTACTAATCAAGGGCGTTAAAAAAAAAGGATCGTTAATTAATCCCTCAATGACTATTTAAAAAATAGAAAATAATTTATACATAACCAGTTTTCAGCTTTTATAGCACCTAAAATTGCCATTAAAAAAAAAGTTTACAAATACTAAACATCCAAGGACATAGAACAAATTTTTAACGTCCTTGAGGAAATTTCCAAGGAAAAAGTTTTATATCGACTTATGGGATAGCTGGGCTGATAATAAGAAACCTAAATTAATAGTAGGAGCCCCTAGGAATTATTAATCGTTATCTCCATACATCATACACATTACAGAAAAGTAAACTGAAAACGAATGAGCCATTTGAAATAGTTACTAGATAACCCAACCAGCCCTGATCAATTAGTAAGGTGTAGGTAACACACAAAATAGATTCCAAAAACATTATCTTATTTAGTTTTTGTATTTAAATGTATAAATTAGTACAATAGGTAATTTTTTAAATGTACTTTCAAGATTGAACTTCTGTCTTGAAACTAGGTCAACAGTCTCAAAGTTAAAAGATAGCAGTATTACATTGAAGTTTTAAATCAACAACAAAATAAAATTTCAATCTTCGGCTAAAAAACTTAATATAAAAACCAAATCAAAAATAATTTTATAATGCTTGTTCTCCTTCAACCATTTCCTTTAAGTTGAGCAGCTCAAATTGTCCAGTTCCCTTAGTTTCTGTCCTAACCAACTCGTCTAAAACTCTGAAGTTTCCCGGATCAATCAGGCAAATGATATTAGCGGTGCCAGAATCCCAGTTCTCTTCTTCTACACTCATAGCAAGTTTCACAACCTTATCCTTTGTTTTTCTAGCTTCTTTGCCAGTAAGCAAGATCCTTACTCTCATTTGAGCTCTCTCTAGCGGTATTTCTTTTTTCAATAGCTGTATCACATCAAGGGACTGCTGTTTAGCACTTTTGTTCACATTCACTGAGAAATGGATATCTTTCATAGCTTTTTCTATGATAGACACAGGATATGGTCTCTTTGTTTCAGGATTGACACATTTATCAGCTACTGTTGTGGCTATGTCCTTGAATAGAGAATCAATTTGTGAATGTCTTTCTTTATCTGAAACTTGAAGTTCACCTTTCTCCAATATCTCTTTGCATATTTCAGTTTGATCATCTTTGCCAAATATTTTAACTAAATCCTCTTTTTTGGCAACCTGTCCCTTGGAAACGTTTGTAAACACTGTGTGTGTCTGCAGCACTTCATCAATATCTTTTTCTCTGAAACAAATTGAATTAAGCAAAGTTAATATTGGTGTAATAGCACAAGTATTCAGAAACCTTATTTTATACGAATATCTTACAATTTGTTGCGCCATGATAAAACTTTATTTCTGTAACAAGCTATTTCAAATCTCTTTCCACCTTTTTTTAACCTTACGATGGCTACGTTAGTTAAGCGAATTTGATTTGTTGGTGTAAATATTTTAGACATAGTGAAGAAAACTGATTCCTTCTACTAATTTAAATTCAAATAGGTTCCTATAAATCAAACTACTATCTGTTTCTCCAAGTAAATATTTCAATACATAATGTTTACTTCAAAACGCACTTTTGCACTTTTCGTTCGCAATCAGTACCTATTTTTTTTTATTACAGATGTCATTTCTTGTTTTTTGACAATTGAATAGACAATTGACAGTAGTAGTAGTTTGGCTTTTGGCTTTGACTAAAGTGGATATGGATACCGGAACGGATTCTCACTGCTTATACTTTCATGTTCTCGGGAATGTGACGAACAATAAGATTTTTACAATAAGTATTTTTAGTTGGGTATTTTCAATTTCAGCGATAATTAAACCGACCTAATTTAAATAATTTGATTTCAGGGACAATAATTTTCCATTTAGTTTTCTGTAACTATGTGATTTATTAAATAATAATCAGTTATATTCATACCATGAAGGACGTTTATACTCTATTCTAGTAGTGATGGCCTACTCTATACTCGGAATTTTAATTCGATTCCAGATTTGACAATTTCAGTGTTGCAACGTTATGACAAGTACTAAATAGTGACGTTGCGAAATTATTCGATATGGAAATGCAATATTTCTGGATCGATTTTTCTCGTTTATAATTTTACTCACGTAAACTAAATATATCAGGAAATTAAATATTTCTGAACCGATAATTTAGTTTTGGCGATTAATTAACAATCTGAGACTTTTCTTTTATAACTGTGTGAAATAAATGAAAAAATGTAATCATGAAGGAACATGACAAATAAAACAAATAGATGTATTATGGTAATAAGTTATTTTATAAATTGTCGCCGTCATCGCTATCGATATCCTGTCACTTTCTGTAACATTTATTATAAAACACACACTGTGATTGTTTATCGATTTTTGTGTTCATC